CATGAATCATTGTTCTTTAGTCTAAATGGTGGAGGTCGGGTTTCGAGTTTTCTACCTACTAATTTTGTGGGTATTTGTTAATGAGATTTCTCTAATTTTCTCTTGCAAGATTTTTTCTTTATCAAGATTATTTAATCTGGAGATATTGTGGTTCAATATCTCTAGTTTTAGCTAAAGAGAACTTTGTATTTCTATTATTTTGATAGTGGAGATTATTTGTTGCTGTCTGTAGTTTTTACTCATTGTTTTGGAAAGGTTTTTCATGAAAATTGCTTGTGTCCTTGTGCTTGTGGTTTAAAAATTTATTTATTAGCTCTATTTGTTTGATTTCTATTAGATTTACACAAGAGAAAGATAATTTTGTTTTTTCGTTGTGTGACATATTTGGTTTAAATATTGTTTAAGGTTATTTTATCCCATAAAAAAGAAATATATTTTCTTCATCACAATAAAATGATCTACCTCCTCGACATTGAAATAAATGTTATCAGGTGTAAATGGGTCTTCAAAACTAAGTTTCATGCAAATGAAACACTTGAGCGCCTTAAGGCTCACCTTGTAGCCAAAGGATTCACTTAAATTCCAAGTATCGATTTTTTATAATCTTTTTCTTCGGTTATTAAACTAGCTACTATACAAGTGGTTTTGACTGTTGCATTAGCCAACAATTGGGATATACACCAATTACATGTCAAGAAAGCATTTCTTCATGGTCGTCTTACTGAACTAGTATTTATAGAGCAACCACCAGGTTTCATAGATCAAGAGTATCCAAATCGTGTATGTAAGCTCAAGCGTGTTCTTTATGGCCTCCGACAAGCACCTAGAGCCTGGTTTGATCAATTTGCCTCCTTTCCTTTATCTATGGGATTGATTTGTTGTTTTGTAGATTCTTCACTTTTTATATTTCGTGGTAGTCATGGAATTATTTTATTATTACTTTATGTAGACGACATTATCCCTGCAGGTGACAATGCTGAATTTTTAAGATGGTTTGTTACTTGTCTTATCAAGGAATTTGCTATGAAAGACTTAAGACCACTACATTATTTTGTGGGTGATGAGGTCAAGAGTATCTAATATATAACTTTTTTCTTAATCAAGAAAAATATGCCAGCCAATTATTAGCTACAGCGCAAATGAGTGGCTAAAAGCCAATCTCCACTCTCATGATAGCTAAAATAAAACCACCTACTATTGATGAGCCGAGCCTTCTGCAGATCCTCAACTTTATCGCAGCATCGTGGATGGACTTTAGTATCTTACCTTTACACATCCAGATAAATCCTTTAGTGTGAATTATGCCCGTCAATACATGCATCAACCTATAAATTTTCACTTTCAAATTGTTAAAAGAATAGGTCGTTATGTTGCAAGAACCATTAGTCATGGTGTTCAACTTCATTCCCATAATCCATTGGGTTTATATGCATATTTTGATGCAGATTAGGCAAGTTATCCATTTACTCAGCGCTCCACAATCGGTTATTGCAACTTTTTAGAAGGAAATTGTATTTCTTGGAGTGCAAAAGAAACAACTTACGGTGGCGCGATCTAGTACTAAAGCCGAATATCGTGTTTTAGCCTCCACAACAGTTGAATTAACTTGGATATCCTTCATTCTACGTGACTTTGGTGTTCACTTGCCTAAAGCTCCAGCTTTGTTTTGTGATAATGTCTCAACTCTCCACATGACCATTAATCCTGTCTTCCATGCTTGCACTAAGCATGTGGAGATAGATTATCACTTTGTTTGAGAAAAAGTTGCCATTGGTTCACTTGTAACATGATTTGTTCCTCTTCCAAGCGAGTTGCAGATATATTCACTAAGCCTTTAACCAAACCCACTTTTGAAGCTTTGCGACACAAACTGGGACTTAAAACAATTTTCTCTGTCAAGGTTGAGGGGGAGTGTAGAAAAAGATAAATCAATTAAACTTCGAGATTCATGCAACCAACAATCAAAATACAAATCAAATCCCAAAACTTAAGCAAGACAATTGAATAATTAGAGATAGGTAGATTTGATTTTATTATCGTTTGTATTATATATATTTTTTATATTAATCAATTTGTATACTCTGTTATCATTATAAATAGAATTATCAAGAAAAAACAACTCAATCATTCAATGAGTTTTTCTAAAAATCTCAAAAGTTTATATATATATATATATATATATATAAGTGTACACATGCTCCTAAAATCGTCTAAAAAAGAAATTATGATCAAACAAAGCAAAAGAGTACCTCTGATGGTCTTATTTAAGAAAAAGTATACATATTAATTTGTCAACTTTGGCTAATCCTTCTAATATTCAAGTAATTGCATAATAATATGGTTTTGGGAAGGAAAAATGTCGCATTACTCAGGACAACATGGCATAACCGGTGGGCACATGAGCATGGCATGCATGAAGATGCATGCATTATACACAAGTTATTGGAAATAGCTAGCAGGTTTTCCTGTTTTTGGACAAAAAAAAACCATGTCAGGAAACGTACGTGGAATATTACATTTTAGTACATAGTAATATTTTTAAATTAAAATACCAAAAAATATTTTTATATCAGAAACAAAGCGTTCTGTTTAGATGATTAGTTATTTCATTACTTCTAGAAACACTATAATTTAGATCTTTGGACATCATCGGCATCAAACATCCAACCCTTTCTAACAAAACCCGAGTACTGAGATTCAAGTTTGTACATCTGTTTCTCGAAAGCAAGAAAAAGGAACTCTAGCCCTACCTGTAATATATTGTATAATATATCATCAAACATTCCAAATCAATATCAAATGAATTACACTCTCTTTTTCGATTAATTATTATTCGATTGTGTTTCATTGTCTGAGATCAATGTTCATCAGACGAACATCTATATTTTATTGTTATAAAAACACTCATTCAGTCTTTATTTATTGATTTTTTTGGTTCTTTGTTGGATGGGAAATACTTTTTTCAATACCAACTGGGACATTGGAAGGATGGGATGAGCAGAGATTCCACTTCCTTAGCAGAAGAAAGGGATGGGGCATTTCAACACCTGTTATCTTGACCAAGAATCTTGTGCCACTCTTTTCTCCCATGCATTTCTATTCCACACAACATAATAATAATAATAAATCATATACTAGTATAAAGCAATAGGAAGAAACAATGTAATATGGTCACTAGACCAATCACCCCTTATCAGTAAAATCCAATGCTAGTTTCACTCGGGAGACCCGGCATATTGCTTTTGCTGACATCAAGTCATCAGAGGCTGTCCCCAACTCTGTTGTTTTTTACCTTGCAAAGGGACCGTACATTAATGCATAACATAACTTTAAACAACAACAGAAACTATTTATAACCCCATCTCTAACACTAGCAGGTTTGCCTTCCAAGGCGCTAAAGGGCATATGCAATAGCATTATATACATATAAAATAAAACTATAAGAAGATAGGCTTGCCTGTCACTATCAAGAAATGAAGGGCGACAAATGCTAGCTGGTTGATGATAATGTGGTGAATTATAGGCTGTTTACAAGGCTAATGATCTCACTTTCTCATTAACAGACGGTCAAAGACGAGCATAATTGTCTGTCAAAACTTTCTTGGTGTCAGGAAGGTGAATTGAAAGCACTGAAAGCTCCCTTTAGTCATCATGTAACTGCAGACGAGAGAGAACAAGAAAGAGAAAGAGAGATCCCAAACTAATGAAAATCTTTTCTACCTGAGATTGAAATCTACTACTACAAAGTACACTGGGTCTCATACATCTTTGCATCAATGTCCGTGTATGTCAAGTGTACAAAACTGTTTGTAAAGCATCTCTGGTAATCAATTAATTACCATATGACTGCAACTCAACATTTCTAATCCTGAATTGCTTTAATTTACAACCAACCCTTTCAGGATCTCTCTTATATATCTGAATTTCCTATCAATAGGACCTCCTCTTGAGTGGTAGCTCGCAGGTGATCCGTCGATCAAAATTACAACAAAATGTATCCATCTGAAGCCAGTCAAACAGACCACTTACTGAATCTGTCAAGAAATCAAGAGAATCATGTGATTTTTGAGCTCTAGCACTTCCAAAGGTGGGATACTTTGTTTTTCAGGCTCACAATCTGTACATACTTTCATGTTATAAGAATGTGGCTGATGATGGCTTATATTTGACAATATTTGAAGTCATGCATGCAGGCGTGTAGCAATATGAATATATCAACTCACCATACATATTCTAATTATATATGTGTTACAAAGGATTGAAAGTGGGACCAAAATTTGACGTTTCTCTTCTAAAATATCACTATCAACCACCTAAAACAGCATCAATAGTAATTCTCACACGTCTTCCTGATCATTCTCTCTCTTTTCTTTCATGAATCTGGAACCGTACAAGTTAAAAATACATGGTAAATAATAATTAGGCATAAATAAACATCTTGCATTCATATTCTGTAGTAGCAAAGTAATAAAGTGTGATGATATTTGGTTGTTGATATGCCCCATATAGAGGGACACTTCTTGGAGTTGGATGCACCAAAATGATGGTAATAAAAAATGGATGGAAAGAGAGAGAAAGTAAGAGAACTAACCTACAAGAACAATTAAAAATGCTCTGCTAAAAGATCAATGGAGTTGCAACTTGACATTGAGAGTAAATAAATAGAGAAGGTGGAAATATAAAAGTTTTTCTGGGACTGAAATGAGTGGTAATACCTTGATGTGTCAGAACTGTAAGAAAATAAAATACACATTGGCGTTGAAGAGAAAGATACGGGTCCTCAGAGAAATGGTGCAAAACTCATGATGTAGCCTAAGAATAACAAGGTTTGATCTGTCTTTGATTGTAGTATAGTATTATTGGGATAAGGGTTGAAAGAGAGAGAGGAGAAAAAAACAATACTACTGGTACTGGAGAACAGTTTTGAAATGGAGGATTGATAATGAGACCATTGGGAACCGAGAAGGCAAAAGCGTGGGGCCTCATAAAAGCATTTTGGTAAAATTTAAAGCATGATTAAATACAATACAGTAAGAGAGAGAGGGGGGTCTAAATGTGACATTTCCATGTTGGTTTGCTTATAAAGGAGGTTAAGATATTGGGTTCTCATTTCTTTTAAGGAAAGATAAGAGTAGAGAGAAAAAAGAAGAGGGGAAAAAACAAGAAATCAAAGAGATCAAGGTCTAAAAAACTGTGAAGAAAATTGATGGAGGAACATCTCAGCCAGTTAGCTGTTACTCATCTCCTTCAACACACACTAAGAAGCTTGTGCATTCATGAGAACTCTCAGTGGGTTTATGCAGTCTTTTGGAGGATCTTGCCTAGAAATTATCCACCACCAAAGTAAGGAACAATAAAGCCAACTAGAAAACACTATAGGTTTCCTTTTCTTTCCTGTTAGGACTGTAGTAGGTTTCCTTTTCTTCCAAGATAAAGGATCCAACATTCTGGTTCATTCCGTAGCTAAACAATACAAATGTCATAATCTCTCACTAATTTATAATTTATCAAGCCTTTTTGTGATATAATTGTTTTTAATAACTTTGTTGATATATAGATGGGATGATCAAGGAGCTTATGACAGGTCAAGAGGTAACAGAAGAAACTGGTATAGATTTTTTTTTTTTTTTAATTTTAAGTATCGAGGACAATATGACATACGTATGTGATTCTTATTCTTAGTAACACACTTCATACTAAACAAATCGCAGGATATTAGTTTGGGAAGATGGCTTCTGCAACTTTGCAGCCTCAGCGGCTGAAATCAACTCCGGAGACTGTCCTGGGTCCTCAGTCTATGGAAGTTGTGAGTTTCAACACTATCAAGGACTGCAACCAGAGCTTTTCTTTAAGATGTCCCACGAAATCTACAACTATGGAGAAGGGTGAGAAATTGATGTGCTTCTGATCACTTCGCTGTTAAAGTTATTTCCAGTTATTTCAATTAACTGTAGATAATATTTCAGGCAAACTGATTTTTTTTTTTTTGATATGGGCAGTTTGATAGGAAAAGTGGCTGCTGATCACAGTCACAAGTGGATATACAAAGAACAACATGATCAGGAAATCAACTTCTTGTCAGCATGGCAAAACTCTGCAGACTCAGTAAGCATATATGCTTTCCCATTCATGCTCACACCAGTTGGTGATTTCACGTTCCAGTTGTTCGCGGAAAAATGTTTGTTTCTCACTAAATGTTTTCCTGTAGCATCCTAGGACATGGGAAGCACAGTTCCTGGCCGGTATAAAGGTATAAGCCTTAGCATCGTAAACATTACAAAACTCTCAAGAGTTAGGTAGATAGACTTGCTTTGACTTGAATATCTTTGCAGACCATAGTCTTGATTGCAGTTAGAGAAGGTGTTGTCCAATTAGGAGCTGTTCACAAGGTCCCTCTCTCTCTCTCTCTCTCTCTCAAGCTCACACACAACTTGCTTTGCAATCATGTTTAACTGATATCTCCATTTTCTTTCTCAATTATGCTACTCAAGGTAACTGAAGACCTGAGTTATGTAGTTCTACTAAGAAAGAAATTCAGCTACATAGAAAGCATTCCTGGAGTACTGTTGCCCCACCCATCATCTTCTGTGTACCCTTTTAAAGTAGATGCGTATGGCACACCAGAAGCATGGCACTACTCTCCAGCAGGGACAATTGCACCACCAGCTGAATTCTACGACCACTTCAATCAGCCCATGAAAATAACTCCTTCCATGAGCAGCCTTGAAGCCCTTCTCTCCAAGCTCCCTTCAGTGGTACCACCGCAAGCTTCCGGGTACTGCGAGTCACTTCCACAGTCACAGTTCTTGTCATCACAAAGGCCTGTACAATACATTGGAATGGAGAAAGCGGCAAAAGAAGAAATTGATGAAGAGATTAGGCCTGAACAGGATATGGGTGAAAGTAGCAGCTCCATTTCTGCATATCGTCGTCAACAGCAGTATCATCACCACCAAAATCTTAGTGTAACAAGCGGCAGGCCCAACAATTGATTTTGATATATAAGTGGTATTTGGAGATAGTATCATATATATATATAAGTAGATTGTACAGAGATCAGTGCATTGATTTCTCTAACGTTTCAGTTAGAAATCTTTTTCCCTTTGTCTCATCGGGGTGGTGTTAATTTTCACTAAAGTACAAGCTTTTACTTGGCAGCTTTTGTTAGTTGTTGAAGCCGTGTTTAGCCATAGATTCGTAGCTAGTATAGTATAATGAATCCTCATCTTTCAGCCCTTCATATTTATGAACTTATTTCCATGTTAGTATGATTCTTTAGCCCTTCGCTGAAAGCTGTATGGTATGGTGCATATTTATATGATCTACTGTTACTTTTGCAGCACTGCTACCGCATAGCTTCTAGCCTTGTACGAGTACGACGCAATTGTGACTGTGATCAGAAGATAGGTAGGCGTAGGATACTGGTCGCTCTGGCCGAATTGCATAGTATATATTTAGAGATCTATTTAGAATCAGGTAATACGTACGCTAATTCTCAATTACTGCATTCATATTTGAAGAAATAATAATAATAACAATAATTATTATTACAAACCGTTTGAGATGAATGAAATTTAAGCTAAGGCAAATTCTTAGTTCAGGAGTATGTCTTTTTCTTTTATCTTTTACTTTTCACAATATATAGAATCTAATCGTTAAGAGCGAGAAGGAAATCTTAAGTCATATTTATATAAAACCCTAGTAGCTTCCATCAAGGCTTTAAATGGATTAAGGCTTACATATACGATCTGATTACACTGCCTGAATATATGTAAAGTCCATAACTAAACTTATCACTTTAATTTAATTGGGCTGACCAATATGTTTCTTTTAGAATTCTAATTAATGGCTTACCACAATTATTGAAAATCCTAACATTTTCTCACTAAATAACATTAATTGAGTCTTCAATTTTAAGAAAACAATTTATTTTCAAAACAATAATTCTAGATTGATTTTTGAATTTGCTAAAAAATCATTTTTGTCAGCACTTATAAATGTTAGTAAAAGATAAAAAAGTGCTGATATTATTATTACCGATAGTTTTTTTAACTGTCGATTGATCACCAATTAGGTAACTGTTGGTGAAAATTTTCTGGTGGTCAACCCACCAATGCCAGAATTACATATGTACTTGCCATATAACTTTTTTCGACACTTTCAATTGTCATTATAAGTAAAAAAAATTTAAGGCATTTTAAAGTGTTAATAAAAGTCACATTTTATTTAAATTTTTTATACTTATCATTCTATTTAAATTTTTTTATATTTACTGAGTGAGCTATATTGATGCTTAAAATCGCCTTTAAAAGTCTTATTTTATTTTTTTAAATAATTTTCATATTTATAATCTTTGTACCCAATGAAATTAAAAATGATTCATACCAAATATAAGCCTTCCTTTTCTTGATTTTAGTAGGGAATGAAAGTTTGAGAATGTAATTGATTTTAGTGGACCAAAAGCAATATGATTTGTAGGCAATGTAATTAGATAAAACCATAGAATATAATTGATTTCCATTTTCCCTATTTTCGTTATAGCATTACAAAATTGCAACCATTTGCATTACAACATTAGAAAGTTGCACAAAATTTCAACTTAATATTAATCCCATTACAAACACTAAAACTATCAAAACACTAAAAAATTATCAAAATACCAATTATTAACAATAATGAAGTAGCATCATCCTCAAAATATAACAATGTAGTGTAATTAAAGAATAGCAATTACCATCATTCTAAAGTATAACAGAAAAAAAGAATTGATCCTCAAAGCTATCAAAGTACCATAAAGTCATCAAAATATCAATTAGCAACAATATGCAATAGCATCATCTTTAAAGCTTTCATCTTTCCTAATTTATTTGCACATAATGATCCTAATGAACTCGATGCATCTAAAACCTACAATATAATACAATTTTTGGATTTTTTTCTATTGATAAACAGTATTACAATCATCCTTTATCATATATATTGCATAGTTTACTTATGTTGTTTTACAAATCAATTACTTAAAGCAAGGACAGTAGAATTTCAGAAAGTGTTCCTTTTTCAACATACTATTATAATATAAGGTTATTGAATAATCAACTAACTAAAAGGCTATTGAACAATCAACCAACTAAAAGTAAATTAAAAAAAATACCAATTTGAGTTAATCACTTGCCTTCAATAATCTAGGTCAAATAAAGCTGATGAATTAAACAAATTTAAGTACTTATAGTAAGAGCAAATAACTATTATTTCTAATTAATAATGCCAGACTAAAATTGCCACATCTAATGTAGGATACTTTGATAAGCGAATGAGTTGTCTTATGATCTTTTATTCATATTTCAATAGCATGGAACCTTACCAAATATTAGTTTCCCAAGTTGCTACTTAAGATTAGATAGTTTGCTTTCTAAATGCTTGTCAACACCAAAAGTGTATTAAAAGTATTGGCAATGCTAAAAGGCCTATATAAATAAAGGAAATTTAGTCATAAGGACCATTTGATCTCTGGTTCCTATAGCAAGTAATGAATGTTAAGTTTCTAAACCTGAAAACGAGTATTTAGTTTCACAATTCTATAACTGGATTATCTATGTTTTATTCTACACCTTTTAATGGCTAAGCTTTGCTTGCTTAAATACTTGGATTGATTATTCTATGGTATCATAGATTCAATGATCAAGTCAACAAAAGATGTCAAAGATTACAACTATAGTTTCATTACAACAATCTTGAAAAAAAATACACTATAACAATTCATACTAAAGTTTTTAAGTTGATATTTTACTAACTACAGCTCCAACACTGTAATGGAGTGGAATAAAGAATTTAGACATAGTTTAACTGCTAGCCAATCTTTATATGGACCTCAAGAAACGAGTTTGTTCATATTGGAAAAGTTGAAACAAGCTACCAAGCAATTTGCTGATAATAATCTCACCAAATGTGACAGCTCGATTGGGTATATAACTATTCTACTAAGAGCAAATAACTATTATTTACTAATTAATAATACTACCTATTGTCGTTACCTGTCTATTACCTATTGGTATGGAAGCTGAGTTGATGTCTATACTCGGCAGATGTGGAAATCTCTTTTGTATGGCAGTTGCAAATTCAACTAACTTAGCATTCACTTTTTTAAGTAAAACTATAATGACCTCAAGTTCGCTCACTTTTGAAACTTTATCTTCCAACTCTAACACTTTAGCAGTTTTTTCTTCCAAATTAGCAACCTTATTTGTCATAGCTTCTAATTTCTCTTGTAGCTTAAGTACCTTTTCATCTCTACCATTTTCAACCTTATCCAAGTTTTGGAAGTAACGAAAAGATAAACCTTAAATCTCTATAGGTGTAGGTCCTAATCCCAAGCCTCATACATGACCAAAATGTTCCTTCCCCATGACTTCAACAAAAACCTCATCTACTAAATAAGTTGTGACTTGTGATTGCTCTAAGCTAGTAGCCTTATTTAACATCTCTTATAAAATATTCAACCAATAAGTGAGGGTAGCAACGAATATATCAATTTTGAGTTTAGATTTTGTAACAATGAGATAGTAAATGTGATTTTATAATCAAGTAACCACTTATAGCAACTTTTGTAACAACAGCATCCATAAACTTCCATCTTTATGTTGATGAGTCATCACAAATAGTTCTATTATATTTGGTTCTTCCCCACTATTTTATTTTTACTACCGTAAACATCCCAATCAGATGACAACTCTTTCCCTTCCTAACATTAGGCTTAAGCAAAAAAGTAACTATATATATTATCACAAGCTAATTGTATCCATGAAGATAAATAATATTTGGTTTGGAGTATAGATTATTCCATTTTTATATGCATTTAGAAACCTTAAATGTATCAACAAAGGAAAGACTTGGATCTAGAGACTTTTATAATTCCAAGATGATTGGTACCCCCAAATGACAACTAATAAAGATTATTTATGTTTCATATATAATTTTTAAAGATTAAATAATTCAATATGTTTTCCTTTTTTTAATCCACCTTTATTGTTACAAGGAAAATGAAAGAACTTAGGTTGTTTGAAGGATAATAAAAAGAAAAAGATCTCTTGAAAGATAATAACCCAAATTTTCTAAAAGATTAATATGTTGGTAAACATTTAACTATAGAAAATAGTTGCTAGAGTTCATACCAAGACCTGAGAAATGATGAAAACTTGGACTGAAAAGACTACTCTTTTTGTTTTGAAACAATACTAAGTCAAATAAAAAAATACTAGAGCCAGAAAACAATGCTTGATTAGAAGGGCTAAAGAAAATTTGAGTTATACTGTATAAACCATGAAGAATAATAGATAGTTGAATTTTTTATTTGTAGATACACTACTACCTTCTTCATACTATGAAAATTTGGTTGGAGAAGCTTTCTCAGAGTTTGTAGACTTGTTATTTTTCATGGGTAGGATTGAATATGTGATAAAAAGAGGGAAGATTATAAGAATGCATGATGAAAAAAGAATGGATGTTTTTGGTGGACCTATTCAAGCAAAAACTGTTGGGCGACTAAATAAGAGAAAATTTGATATAATGTAAGAAGAATGTTTCAATGCTTATTTTCACCCACCACTACCCATCAATAATGTGTTTCCACATTTTCACCCTCACATCCAAGCATCCAGTGCCAACACTTTACCACACCTATTTCACCTCTATGCCTTAGCACCTTTTGCTCGAGCTTTTTCACCTCAAGTGTTTGTTTTGCCTAGTAACCAAGCAATCAGCTCAAGCTATCTCCAAGATAATAAGATAAAAAGAGTAAAAGTGTACCAAGCACTTTCAATGTCTTATACTGAACTTCTACCTTTACTTGTCCAAAGTTAGAAGATTTTTGTTGTCCCTACAAAGCCCAAAAAACCTTTCTGTCAAAAATGGTATAATCCCAACGTCAAGTGTGAATATCATAATGAAGTTGAAGGACATTCCATTGAAAACTGCTCTATATTCAAGGATAAAGCTCAACCTATAATTGATACAAATCTTACAAAATTCAAGAAACTTGTCAGTCGTTATGGTAATCAAGGGTGATAAAGTTAAGGACTAAATTTCTAAAGGATAGTGTGCCAATCAAGGGTAATTTATCTTGGTTTAAGCTTACACATATTTCTATCTTGAGAGCACTCTAGAGAATATGAATGCCTGTTCAACTTGAAAGTTTGCATAAAATGAATATGCATTACATTATTTCATGAATTTGTGAATATTTTCATTTGAAAATTTTGAATTTTTAATGTTGGGATGCTTTTCAATAAAAAAAAATCTAAAGAAAATAAAAGGAATAAAACCTTACATAACTTGTATCCAAAAGTGTGAAAAGAGTGGAATACTTATTAAGAAAGAGAAAAAACAAAGATTTTTTTAATGAAAAAATCTTGAAAGAACTAGTGATAATTA